ATAGCACCTAACTTTTCTGAATGTCATTGTAGATAAGTAAATTGGTTTAGGATGTTAAAATATTAATGTGACGTACCTTCTGGCATAAAGATATATCCTATCTGGCAGGCCGCGCACAACCAGAATGCTATAATCAGGACGGGTTTTCTTCCGATCTTGCCCAGGAGAAATACAGCAGTCCAGTAGCCAGGTATTTGTGCAGACGACACTGCCATGTAGTTGAGATATTTGTTCCCTGACATGTTCACGGCGTTGATCGAGAGGCCATAATAGATGAAAGTGGTTGTAATCCACCAAATAGGTGAAACTACACACCGAATCAACACCCTTTTATGCCTGAACACCTGGACAATTAACCACGGTTCGTCCTTCTTTTGCTTGTCTATCTCAGCTTGATTCGCTTTTTGTTCTTCGGCCGTCCTTCTGAGAGCTTTCAAGGACTTGTCGGATAAGTGTTTCTTGTTTACTTTAGCGATTTTTTTGAGGACCTTCTCGGATTCTTCATAGCGCCCTTTGCTCATGTACCAACGAACAGATTCGGTCATGAGCCAGAAGTAGGCTATGGTTATGAGCTGAGGGACGTAGAGGGCCAGCGTGAGGTTCCTCCAGTTGGGCACGCCCCACGCGATGAGCCCCATCGTGATCTGGCCGAAGGAGAAGCAGGTGTTCATGCTGGCACCGGCCGCTACGCGGAACTTGGGCCCAACCACTTCCATTACTGAAAACAATCAACGTTCTTTGATTAGTACGAGTAAAACTACCAATATTGTTACTAGATAGATTTCATAATTGACTCACAAAATTGTGTTTTTATTCAGTAGGTAGGTACATCATAGTCGCATGCTATGATCATGCCCCTCTATCATGCTCTTATCGGATTTCCAAACTACTATCTTTATGGGGAATTCAATAGGCACAGAAGCGTGCCCGATATCATTCAAAATATCTCGACTGCCATAAAACTTACTAAACCTCTTCGACATAAACTGTCTGCTTCTCCAATCAAGGTTGAATGTGGAAATACCAGTCAATAAAAAAGCATAATAATAAATAGATAATCTTATTTACCAAGCCTTATAGTTGTTTAGAAAACCATAATAAAATGAATTGAGTCGACAAAGCGAGGCAAAGAAGTAATTGCATAGGTTCTCAGTATTACCAGGCCTGTTTATCTCCGCGAGTTTACATCGAAAATAAAACACGCACGATGGCCCACCTACAGGATACTATTCGACAAGGCCTCACATACGAGGGAACATTGACTCACGCACGCGTATTCTTGTGTATGATGGAAGAAAATAAAGAAAATGGTGTAATAAATACTGTGTGGTAATTAACTGCCTAAATAATAATAAAAACACAGAATGTGCTTTTTTAAGTTGCCTCAAGACACTGAGAGGTAAATAAGTAGTTAATATTATTCATGATAATTCATGCTAAATCATGTATTTCCTCCGCCATTTTCCGCAGTTTGGCACCTCACGTCACATCATTTTACCGAAGTCAGCCCTATAGCTTCGGCGCAGTGCCGATCACTGACGTTTGTCAACAAAATGGTGCTTGACTCTTGAGACAGGCTAAATTACACCTTATTGTTAATGACATTGAGCTTACATTTTTTTAAATACCTTCGCGAAGTAAAACTTCTGTACGTAGTACTTATTATTATTCTGTGGTATTACTAAACAAAAACATACTTTGACAGATCAAAAAGTACTGGAACCGACTCTACCATAATAGTAAACTTACGCAAAATGTAAGCAGTCGAGAATCCACCGGAGCCAAAGGTGGCCTCCGCGAACTCGGAGATGACGAAGCCGACGTAGGTGTCGGCGAAGAATCTGAGCGCGCCGATCCAGGCCGTGTTGAAGCCGTTGAGCGCCAGCGCCGTGCGCCGGCCCCAGCGGTCCGACACGAAGCCCGTGATGGGCAGCGCCGTCAGCGTGCCGAACGTGCGGATGGTCCCGATCAGCGACCGCCGCCAGTCATCGCACGCTAGTCCATACTGCACAAAACAATATACCTTGCAGTTTGTCATGAACATTATTAGCTTGCTAAATATTTAGTAAAATATAGATGAAATTGATTAAGGGCTGTTACAAGAAGAACACTGCAGTAAGCGTCAAGTGCAGATCAAGAACTAGGATAGATAATAAGGTATCGGCATTCCTCTCTTTTTTAACGAATATCATGCCTCTACACCTTGATCTTTCATTGAATCTTTCAATATCGAATGAAATCAAATCTGAATCAAAACATAAATGTGATGGAATGATACAAATAAAGAAATATGGTAGATAAAAGTGATTAATTACTCCTACGCATTATCTTGACAAAGGTAGCAGGGAAGCGCTGGACGCAGGCCGCTACCAATCGATCAACGTGGAAAGCATTATGGGAGGCCTATGTTCAGCAGTGGACGTCCTATGGCTGACATGATGATGATGATGATGATTATCTTAACAAAACGTGTCAATGATTTTCCGAATTAAATTACAAGTAAGTAGTTAATTGCGGATAGTTGTATGCATTAAAAAGTAGTTAACAGAAACAGAGGCTTAAGTAAGCTTAAAATCTCTAACTAAACTAATGGATTCGTTCGTTCGTTCGTTTCAGCCGAAAGACGTCCACTGCTGGACAAAGGCCAAACTAATAGATTAAAAGATTACAAATAGTGTTTCCAAAGCAATAAACCTACGTCATATACGACGGAGTCTGTATTCTCGTAGAGATGTCGCTCGCAGCTCTCGAGCCGGTCCCGGTCGAACCAGTCGGGCGGGCAGGCGTCGGCGCGCGCCGCGGAGGCGTTGGCGGCGCCGAACCGCTGGCAGCCGTCCAGCGCCGCCGCGCTGCCGGGGATCGCGCTCGGCAGCCACTCGCTGTGGAACTCGGGCTCCTCCAGGTCACACTCCGGAATGTGACATCTGGATTGAGAAATGCATAAAGTTTGATTCTGATTATTTACTGTGGGCCTCCCACGTAGATTTGAGCGTGAGAATCATGGTGCCTGATATCTGCCATGATTTATGAATTATTTATCGGGATTTTTAATTTCGTATTTTACTGCTACATACGAAAACGGACAAATACAGATGAGATGTCAATAGGCCAATTTTAATCTTCAGTTAAAAGTTATTTGACGATGAAAAATCAGCTCTCAGTGAATAATGCTTTACGATAAAATAAAACAAACGTAACGAAAAGACATGAGTTTCCATGTAAAGCAGTTTATTTTTAAGGTTTAATTTTTTTTATAAAATCGAAATTTCATTCAAATCCCAACAAACACGTTGACTGACCCTAAATAAATAACAAAAAGTAAAAGTTACACTAGTAGTAACTTTATACTCTTGGAAGACATGGTGATAACGGCTCTGCTCACCTGGTCGGGATCCGGGCGGTGGTGAAGACGTACTCGTTGGCGCCCCACGACGCGAAGACGACCACGAGCGCGGCCAGCAGCAGCGTGCGCGCCTGGAACCAGCCGAACTGCCCCAGCTCCTCCACCAGGATCGTGTCCAGGTCCACCGGTTTCGACTTCACCCCCTCCTCTACGTTATGGGAGTTAGAAAACTCCCCTTTCTCTGCGCTTGTCATTTTTTATTATTTTGAGTGCGATCCGATCTAAGATTGCCAGTTAAATTACCATTTCTCCAAACAGCGATGAATTTTTTGGGATTTTCTTTTCAATTAAAGTTCTCGACGTCTCTTTGAACCAGTGCCGCAGTGTGTAATAATGACTTTCACAGATATCGATACATAATTTAAAACACAATAAATGTTATCTGCGGTTGTCTTGATGAAAAATAAAAATAATAGATAGACAGATACACACGAGTACACTTTGTTGCACAAGAATTATTACGAGTAAGTGTTGTAGTTCGTAGTGTTCTAAGGGATTTTTTTTAATCCACAACGAGGAAGCTTTTGGCCTGTATCTCACCTGATGGTAAGTGATGATCAGGCCGAAGGTGGAAGCGAGCTTCACCCGGAATCCTCAACCACGGAGGAACTGGCTATCTCACCTCTAACTGCCGGAACACAACAATGCTGTTAACATTATTGTTATGGCGACAGACTTAGGTAAGATGGCCCTACCACCAACCAAACCGAACAGAAAAATCTGCCCCCACTGGGAATCGAACCCGGGACCTCTGCGTCTGATTTTCACAAAGTGAAAAACGTTTCCGCGATGCCACATATTTTGTCGTAGTGTTAGAAGCTTGGCTCTACACGAGATGTGATAACTTTTTCACAGTGCAATTCATACGGTTCGCAAAATTTTTGGTATAAAAAAGCGACATAAATTTTCCACGGAATGAAAACCCATTGAATTTTGCTACTTGGAAGCGTAGTCTGAACTCAATGATAAGTTTCTTGCCTCCGCGTTCCTACATTATACGCTCAAGTAAATGTTTTGAATTTATTAACTAATACTGTCTTAATTTATAGCACAAACACATTTAATTTTAAATTTACTGCAATTGCTCAGTCGTATTAAACAGCCAAAGTGAGCAATAAACTAAAAATAAGTTAAGTATAAAGTCGTTTTATCAATCTTATTGTATTGTTTATGAGTATGTGTATGTATGTACCAAATAAATAAATTTTGAATTTTGAATTTATTTTAAGAACATTGAATTAAACAATTATGGTACAAGTTTAGACAAATAAGTAGATTCTGTTAAAATTTTCAGTTCTCGTTACTCTCTCTACGCAGTTTTTACTACTGACGCTATCTACCGGCGACTTGCGCTATCAAATTGTAAGCTATGACGTGTGATTCAGCGTAAAATATTTTAAGTTCTTTAATGCTTGAAATAGATGGCGTTGCTTACCGATAAATCGATTAGCAATCGCGAAATAATAGTAATATAATCATCACCAAGATCACCATCAGAGAAATGCCGCCGACTGCGTTGTTAGCCGGCGCCAGAGCCCTGGGCCCCAATTAAGCTAAAAATTTTCATCTTCAACGTGCCCGGACGTCAGCTGTGACAAATCTGTATCGCAGAATCGAAGAAATCAAAGAAGCGCGTCTGTATTGGAGACGTTAAAAATTGGCGTAATCGGGACACTGGGCTTTGTCACTCCGGAGTCTAGAGTAGTCCGGAGACACTTGGCTCCTACCTACCCACATTACCTATGCATAAATTATAATAAGTAACTATGAACATCTTGGAGTCCAGACTTCAGACCGTCAGAAATGGAGGCACATCGTCAGCGCAACCACGACCACTCTGACAAGAGTGTCCGACTAAGAAGAAGAACAGACTTCAAGGATATAATAATAAATAAAATTAATCAGTGTCTGTATTGTTTCACCTTAGAATCAAAGAAGCTTCATTTTAACACTGTAAACCGTGTGATGTAAATGCTATTTATTTGTACTTTGGATTCAGGATAAAGTGCATAGACAACTAGGTTTTGCTCGTACCGTGGGTCACAATAAGCTACTTCTTTGTTTGAGCTGGCTTAATCTGGTGCCCGATATTGATAAAGGTAGATATCAATACACAATGTCCGCACAAATGACATCTTGACATTGAATCCCGCGGCAGCAGTACAAAGAGACGTCAATAAATTCATAAAAAATCGTACCTACCTAATGCGTAATTACAATTATACTGTGTTGTCTTATCAGGAATAAATAATAGAATTGGAAAATCCATATAATCGGTGGATCGTGTAAGAAAATTTAAAGTAAAATATGGCAAGCGCCGAGAATGGTGACTTCCCAGACAAGCAAAGAATACAGGTGGAGCCTAAAATGAGATCAATCAATTTGGATAAAGTCTTGGAGGATGAAGTTGGGGCGTTCGGGTGGTTCCAGAAGCGGGTCATCCTGCTGGCGGGGCTGCTGGTGGTGTTCGTGTCATGGTCCAACAACGAATACGTTTTCACTACTGCAAGAATCCCAACCAGGTACGTCTCATATTTTTACATTTAACTGCATTTGATACTACAGGGTTGCTGTTTCGTACAACTTAATAAGTCAAATCCACACAAATATTTTAAAGAAAAAGAATTTGATTCCGAAACTGCTTGACTATTTAAAAAACTTTTCACCATTAGAAGCCCACATTATCCCTGATGAATATACATAGGCTATAATAGAATATTTTCAAAAAGGTTATTGAAGTTCGCCGAGTCAGCTAGTTGGTGATAAGATTCCAAATCGAAAATAATTCCTGATTCGAAGGAACATGTTAAATATTTTCAAATACTTTAGAATTAAATTAAAAAAACATATTTATTACAGACTATTTTGACAGAGGTTTTGATAATGATACTTTTGTTCCCATAAAAGCTCACAGAATGCAGCTTTACGCTCTATTTGTCATCTCAATAAGTTTACGTAGTACGAGTTTAAGCAAGTTGCTATGTTATTTTTATTGATTGCCATAAACATACAACAAACTGCTTATCTGAATATCAATTAAGTAAAAATCGATCTACTTGTGCGATAAAATACCATAATTTCTCTCTTTTAGAAATAATTTATCTAATCGTATCTTACTTTAGACTCGTTATGACATAATTGTACTCGTATTATCTTATCTTTATCAGCTATGCTTATAAACAATCAAATAATATGCATCCATCTTTGTAGAGGACATATTAATAGGTTTTTTGATCAGATCTGATCTTTAATCAGAAATGAGGAGATCCGTAATCGAACTAAAGTTGCTAACATAGCCCGACAGATTAGCAAGCTGAAGTAGCAATGGGCAGGGCACATAGTAGGTACGCAGAACTGACGGCCGATGGGGCAGCAAGGTTCTGGAGTAGAGGCCGCGTACCGGAAAACGCAGTGTGGGACGTCACCATTAAATAATAATAAGTATTGTAAGTGTATTGTCGATGATACTGAATAAACATTTTTTCTTTCTTTCTTTCTTTCTTTCACCCACAAGGTGGACCGAAGACATCATAAAGGTAGCAGGAAAGCGCTGACGCAGGCCGCTACCAACCGGGCAACATGGAAAGCATTGGGGGAGACCTATGTTCAGCAATGGACGTCCTATGGCTGAGATGATGATGATGAAAAGGTTATTTGTAGGTATCCTAATTTTTCTGATATCCAGTAGGTACAAAAGTTTTTTATGCATAAAAAGGCAGGTATTTGATCGCAATCATTCCCGATATTATATTCAGCTTTTGTGGCTTTTATATCTTTTTAAATGGGATTCACTTTTTTACTTCAGATGTCACATTCCCGAGTGCGACCTGGAGGAGCCCGAGTTCCACAGCGAGTGGCTGCCGAGCGCGATCCCCGGCAGCGCGGCGGCGCTGGACGGCTGCCAGCGGTTCGGCGCCGCCAACGCCTCCGCGGCGCGCGCCGACGCCTGCCCGCCCGACTGGTTCGACCGGGACCGGCTCGAGAGCTGCGAGCGACATCTCTACGAGAATACAGACACTGTCGTTTATGATGTAAGTTCACGATTCGTTACATTCTCTAGAATCGCGTTCTTAATTTGCTTTAAATCCAGTATTGATTTTTCTCAGTTTGACCTGGCCTGTGACGAATGGCGCCGGGCCTTGATCGGTTCCATGAAGGTATTCGGCATGTTGCTCGGGGTGCCCCTGACCGGCTACGTGTCCGACCGCTTCGGCCGGCGCACGGCGGCTGTCATCACTGCTGTCAACTGCGCATGGATCGGCATCTTGAGATTCTTTGCGAACACCTACATAGGGTTCATCATATCTGTGTTCGCAGAAACCGCTTTCGGATCTGCATACACGACTGTTTTTATTTTAAGTAAGTAAACCACTAAGTCTGACAAGAAAACTCAGACAACCATTTGTTAAAGACATCAATTACCAATATTCAAGCGTAGCGTACCTTAACTGACAAAGTTATAAAACTACTAAGATATCTAAAATAGTGATTTTAAAAAATATACGATTAGAACGCGGTTCTCATCCCCTTTTTTATTTCAGTGATGGAAATAGTGGGCCCTAAGTTTCGCGTGGGTGTCGGTGCCACCATGACCTCATTTTTCTCCATCGGTCAAATGATAATGGCCCTAATCGCGTGGGGTGTACCAAACTGGAAGCACCTCACTTTGGCGCTCTTCGCTCCGCAGTTCATTACAATAGCGTACTTCTGGCTTCTGCCTGAGTCGTTCCGCTGGTACATGAGCAGAGGTCGATATGAAGAATCTCAAAATGTATTAAAGAAAATTGCAAAAGTAAACAAGAAAACACTGTCCGAAAAATCTTTGATAGCCCTAAAACAGTTCGGCGAAGAAGAAAAAGCAAGGCAAGAGAAGCTGAAAGAACAAAGTAAAAACGAACCATGGCTGATTGTTTTGGTCTTCCGCCACAAACCGATACTGATCCGGTGTTTAGTGTCGCCCATTTGGTGGATTACTACGACGTTTATTTACTACGGTCTTACGATAAACGCTGTGAACATGTCCGGGAACCGATTTGTNAGATTTGTCAATTACATAGCTGTAATGGCCGCCCAAATACCGGGATACTGGAGTGCGGTGTTTCTCATTGAAAAAATTGGCAGAAAACCGGCTTTGATTACAGCATTCTGGCTATGTGCAGCATGCCAGATAGGATACATTATCATGCCAGAAGGTACGCTTAACACACACATGTAACCTAATTTAATTTGAGAATTACTTACAAGTTCAAATGCGTTTTTTTAATATACAGGGTGTTAGGTAAATGGGTATATGAGCCGACACTAGCCCATGTTAACATGGTCATATCAATGGTATGGTGAAGTCAGAAAATTTATATCTTCATTTTAATTATTTTAATTTTCATACAAATCGGATTTTACAAATTTATTTTTTAAGTATACAGGGTGACTGGAACTGAACCCGCCATAGCTAATACGCGTATAGAGGAGGTCATTTGCTAATTATTGAACCTCACTTTCTATGACTAAAGTTTAAGCAGTTTTTAGGTCAAATTTCGGAAAAGTCAGAAAAAAGTATAAAAATTGACATATCTCCTAAACTATAAGACTTTAGCTATAGAAAGTAAGGTTAAATAATTAGCAAATGACCTCCTCTATACGCGTATTAGCTATGTCGGGTTCAGTTCCAGTCACCCTGTATAGTAGGTATACGAGTATTAACAGAATGACATTTAGGCTGCGTTGTTACAGCTGTGATCATAAGCAGACAGGTGGCTCAAACGGGCTTGAAGATCCTTAGCTATCCTAAAATTGTTATTCATTACACTGCTACTGTTACCTCGACACGAAACACTCACAGTGTCGGAGTTAGTTGTGATATGTAATAAAATAGCACATTATTATTGTCGTTTTCAGGGCAATACGCGCTCTCCTTGACGTTGTATCTAGCGGGCACGTACTGCATTTCCAACGTGGTAACTGCAGTCTACTCGTACACCGCCGAGCTGTATCCGACTAAGTACCGCAACAGCTTGTTCGCGTTCTCATCAACGATGGGAAGAATCGGCAGTATCTTGGCTCCACTCACGCCTGCTCTAGTAAGTGTCTACTATAATAAAGCTTTACATAGTTAAAGCTCTATCATTGCGAATTTTAATTAAAGACATCTAGTAACGATAAACGATACCTATGTAATAACTTTTTGTGAAACCTCTTTTGGTAAATGTGAAGTTTAGTTGGTAACTCTATGTGTGTTATGGAATGCTGTTTGTTTTCCTAACAATAAAATAAAAAATAAAATAAAATAACCCTCACGAGCTAGTTAAGACTTCTTATTAACTTTGTTTTAACTTTTAAGTGACACCAAATATTTAACAAATCATATAAAATACGAACATGTTTGTATTCAGTAAGACATATTGAATTCCGAGGACATAGGAGAATTATCTTTAGTACTCAGTTAAAATTATCTAATCGTTAATTCTAATGTAGCGCCTCCTCATCCAAAAATACACGAGGATCTCGTTGATGATTTTCCCAATTCCAGGGAGCTGCGGNCGATTTGTGAATTACATAGCTGTAATGGCCGCCCAAATACCGGGATACTGGAGTGCGGTGTTTCTCATTGAAAAAATTGGCAGAAAACCGGCTTTGATCACAGCATTCTGGCTATGTGCAGCATGCCAGATAGGATACATTATCATGCCAGAAGGTACGCTTAACATATTTAATCTAATTATATTTGAGTTTTTTTTATACAAGGTCACCTCCAAAAGCCAGACGAGATTTAAGGGACAAATAAAACATCTTAAATTAATTCGTTTTAGATAATACAACCATATTTTTAGAATGCTAGTTTTCGAGATTTTTTGATGTTATAGGTATCGAGTGAACCCGAAGTGCTCAGTGCGGTCCGGAGGCATGGCATCGATCGTGCCAGACAGTGCATCCGTGTACAAGGACGTCACGTACCTATGTAAATAATGTGAAAATGACAGAGAGGGCCGATAAACAGGATGCTCTTAAAAATATTACATTTAGTTTGTTAGGAAAAGTAAAAACAGACACTAGCGTATTTTTTTATTATTTTAATGCTAGGGTCCAATTTTTCTAATATAATTAGATGCCCTATTAAAATTTCGTCTATCTTTTGGAGGTGACCTTATATGTATATTATAGGTATACGAGTACTAACAGCATGAAATTTAGGCAGCTGTGATCACAAGCGGACTGGTGGCTCAAACGGGCTTGAAGATCCTAAGCTATCCTAAAATTGTTATTCATTACACTGCTACTGTTACCTCGACACACACTCTCAGTGTCGGACTTAGTTGCGATTGTGATATGTATAAAATAGCACATTATTATTGTCGTTTTCAGGGCAATACGCGCTCTCCTTGACGTTGTACCTAGCGGGCACGTACTGCATTTCCAACGTGGTAACTGCAGTCTACTCGTACACCGCCGAGCTGTACCCGACTAAGTACCGCAACAGCTTGTTCGCGTTCTCGTCGACGATGGGCAGAATCGGCAGTATCTTGGCTCCACTCACGCCTGCTCTAGTAAGTGTCTACTATAATAAAGCTTTGCTTAGAGTTCTATCATTGTATAATAGTAAGTAAGTAAGTAAGTAAGCATTTATTTGCTGCACACAAAGTCACATACATAGTTCAACAAAATAACATAATACAATATTTAACATGCACATTATGAAATAATGTGAGCAGAGTTGCGGCAGCAAAAGGTCTCCGTCTCAGCATGTGTCACAAGCTAATGCCTGGACGCTGATTTTCAGACGGCGGCCGACGAAAGTGGAGAGCGGCGGTAATCGCCGCAGCAATTCGCAAGGGCATTAAAACACAAATGATAAAGAAAAATTAAATAAATGAAAAGTGATAATTTGAGTCGTCTTGTGATCTTTACGAACTAGTCTAACGCCCGTTTCCTATATTCAATCCTTGTCCGAATCCGGATTTCAATATTGTCAAACAATCAGTTTTCGATCGAATATCCACAAATTTTTATGCGTTTATAAATAGTCTTAAAATAATATAAAAATGTAAAAACATCGAAAAACATTAATTTTGACCAAAAACATACTGTTTGACAGTTGACGGACGAAACGACGAACGGATTTGGATTAGGATTGAACATAAAAAATATTTAATAAGTCTAACATTATTATTATTATAATTATTATAAAACTTTATTGCACAATAAAATAGTACAAAAGGTGGACTTAATGCTATTTAAGCATTCTCAGCCAGTCGACCCCTGGGTTATGCAGAAAGCTGTGAGTGCGAAGGTAGAGGTAGAAGGGTAGAAGTTAAAATTGAAGTTAAATTTTTAATTGATATAATATTTAAGATACATATACCTACATACATACATACATATACATACATATATACAGATACATACAAACATATAATATAAATAAATATAATTAACATATAATACCATATAATATGTGATAAATAAATAAACAAACAAACAAACATATAAAATACGAAGATGTTTGTGATCAGTAAGACATATTGAATTCCAAGGACATAGGAGAATTGAGTTTAGTACTCAGTTAAAATTATATCCAGTAGTTAATTCTAATGTAGCGCCACAATACACGAGGATCTCGTTGATGATTTTCCCATTTCCAGGGAGCTGCGGTGTGGGACAAGCTGCCGTTCGCGCTGTTCGCCGGCCTGGCCTGCCTGTCGGGCGCGCTGGTCTTCGTCACGCCGGAGACGCGCGGCACCAAGTTCCCCGACACCATGGAAGAAGCCTCCCAACTTGGCAGGAACAACAAGCGCACTAGTACTAGGTTATAACGTAAAAATACTAAAGGGCTAGAAGTTAACTTTGCATTTTATTACCCGACTGCGCTAGAAGGAGGGCTATGTTTTTTTGATTTTGGTCCTTGCAACTTTTTAACAGTGGTCTGTGTTGGGGATTACATTTTTCAAGTGTATACCTACGAGTTATAACTAAGTATTATGTTGGACGTGTATAAATGTCCTGGAAAGTACCTAGTAATAAATAATTTATTTCATCACATTTTTACATTTCAATAAATAAGACTACTAGTCAATACTCCCGGATACAACTGCACAAGCTAAAGGGCTTTAATGAATGTGCTAAAGTGTAAGTTAAATGGGGGTCAAAAGCACCTCAAAGTTATTTATTTAATGTTACACACAGCTGTTGAATTGCTAGTTGCTTTTTCTTTGAACGTGGCTGGACATGCTTCCGGATGTATTTGCTTCCAGGTGATGTGGAAATTAGTTTTCTTTTGCCGAAATGCATACTGGACTATACTTTGCGGCGATCTTTTAACAGCACAAAAAAGTTATCAAGACATCAGAAATTTTACATTTTCTCTAGTTTCTTTTTGTATATTTTTTATTATTATATGTTCTCCCCTTTTCTATGATTGATGATATGAATCAAACATATTATCTGCAACATATGAAAAGGGAAGAAGAGAGTACAAAATCACTATTAGGCGCAGTTTTTCCGATATGGTGGCGTCCGCGGCAACAGTAGGAGGTCGCAAAGCTGAAATGTAAAATAAGAGCAGTTACCTAAATAGCACATCGAAATCTATAAATACTAATTTTCAATATTCCCGGAAAATTTTCCAAGCAACCCCATTATTTTATACTAAATGACTGGATTAAATGCCGTAAACCGCCTCTGTGGTCTAGTGGTAAGACCACCTGCTTCAGACGCAGAGGTCCCGGGTTCGATTCCCAGTGGGGGCAGATTTTTNTTAATCTTTAATAGTGATATTTAATGTTTCACCCGAATTTATTTGCTTATCACAAGATATTGTACCTACCATTTTACAATTTTTATTTTGTTCTGCATGTTATTAAAGATTATAAAAAACCTTAAATGAGTTACCTACTTACTTGAGACAAACAAATTAATATCCATAGCTGAATATCAATTTCCTTTTGAACTATCGTGATCCAACATCTAATGCGCATCTTTGTTTTGATTTTGTTATTAATGTTATTGCATTTCATAGTTTAATTGTTGTGGCTACATATCACTGCGTGCATCTAGCGCGCTCGGCGCCATCACGACAGAAAGCGGATGTGTAGAACTTACGTTTTCATGCTACTGCTGATATTATTTAGATAATACCTGTTTTTCGAAGAATTTCGCTTGAAAATTTTACTGCGGCAACGGTCATAGTACACATTAAAAAATATAATATAAACATACCTACATAATTTTATCATGGATTACATGACGATAGTAACAATTCGACTTTTTTATACACGAGAGTCGACTCCCAGACGGTAAAGATTAACATGAAGTAGCAAGTAGGTATGTACAAAGTTATCACGAGCACGTGTCTGCTCCACGCTGACCCATTAACGGTGTTGTATTTGTTTAATAAATTAATCACTTATAAATAACGCTTGGTGACATTAAAGGGTACTATAGCTGCAAAAGTTCGGAAAAAAATATTCTGAAAACAACTAAAACCTAACACCTAGTTCAAAAATAACAAATAATTAATCAAATCACTGTCAAAACGATTATTGGCCAATTGCCACAAAGAAAGTTAGTGGTTTTATATTAACGATAAAACAATGCAGTTCGTTTTTTATAAGTGGTCGGTTGGCAGTGATAGTTTTTTAGGGTTAGAATCAATTAAAATTAAATTGTACAGGCTACTATATCCATAATCCATTATATTATGATAAATTAAATAACTAGGTAGGTATGTCAACAATGGATAACTATATTCTAATGCGGTAATGATGTTCTCAAACATATTTGCAATGTTCGTGAACCCCTGATAACGCAACCTCTGGACTTGGCGTCACTGGGGTATTACGGTTTCTTATATTGATATTATTTGGACACTGACACACGATATAAATAGGTCATAATTTAATTTTAAGGATTTACAGACTTATGACGAGATAAACTGCGTTATATTAGTAGTTCGGAACTGCGTATAAGATNCAAACAAACATATAAAATACGAAGATGTTTGTGATCAGTAAGACATATTGAATTCCAAGGACATAGGAGAATTGAGTTTAGTACTCAGTTAAAATTATATCCAGTAGTTAATTCTAATGTAGCGCCACAATACACGAGGATCTCGTTGATGATTTTCCCATTTCCAGGGAGCTGCGGTGTGGGACAAGCTGCCGTTCGCGCTGTTCGCCGGCCTGGCCTGCCTGTCGGGCGCGCTGGTCTTCGTCACGCCGGAGACGCGCGGCACCAAGTTCCCCGACACCATGGAAGAAGCCTCCCAACTTGGCAGGAACAACAAGCGCACTAGTACTAGGTTATAACGAAAAAAAAAAGAGCTAGAAGTTAACTTTGCATTTAATTACCCGACTGCACCAGAAGGAGGGCTAAGATGTTTTTTGTATTTTGGTCCTTGCAACTTTTTAACAGTGGTCTGTTTTGGGGAATACATTTTTCAAGTGTATACCTACGAGTTATAACTAAATATTACGTTGGACGTGTATAAATGTCCTGGAAAGTACCTAGTAATAAATAATTTTTTTCATCACATTTTTACATTTCAATAAATAAGACTACTAGTCAATACTCCCGGATATAACTGCACCAGCAGTGTAAGTTAAATGGGGATCAAAAGTACCTCGAAATTATTTCTTTAATGTTACACACAGCTGTTGAATTGCTAGTTGCTTTTTCTTTGAACGTGGCTGGACATGCTTTCGGATGTATTTGCTTCCAGGTGATGTGGAAATTAGTTTTTTTTGCCGAAATGCATACTGGACTATGCGATCTTTTAACAGCACCTAAAAGTTATCAAGACATCAAAAATTTTACATTTTCTCTAGTTTCTTTTTGTATATTTTTTATCATAATATGAAAAGGGAAGAAGAGAGTACAAAATCAACTATTAGGCGCAGTTTTTCCAATATGGCAACAGTAGGAGGTCGCAAAGCTGAAATGTAAAATTAGAGCAGTTACCTAAATAGCACATCGAAATCTATAAATACTAATTTTCAATACTCCAGGAAAACTTTCCAGGCAACCCCATTATTTTATACCAAATGACTGGATTAAATGCCGTTAGATTTATTCTTCAATGAATTGAATTGTCACTTCCATTATGGACTTACCTACTTGCTCGTAATAAATTATATACCTAGGTGTTTTAGGTTTTAAATAGAAAAACTTTCAGCGCGTTCGAAGCATAGCAGAACAATTATTCCCACCTCTCGTTCCCACCACTGCAACTCCTGTGTGGCCAGGATCTACAGCTTGACCGTCACAAAAACCTAACCAATGAAGGTCAAGTTTGTCCCGGGGAAAGTTAAACTGTCATTAGACCCGCAACGAAATTAATCAGAAGAACATAGAATCAGACTGCTCATGACTGACATCATCAGTGGAACACTCGCAAAAAGGAGACGGAACAAGTTTAAATTCGTGAAGTCGAAGCATAGCAATAAATACATGAATTTTATTGGACGCCTTATTTATTTTAAATTCGCGTAAATTCGGTAGTTGGTTGTCTTGGCGAGCGCGCGCGGCCGAGGTCGGCGGCCTGCCGCATGGTGTCGGGCAGGCGCGCGCCGCGCGTCTCGGGCGCCAGCAGCACCAGCGCGCCCGACACGCACGCGCAGCCCGCGAACAGCGCGAACGGGAACTGCTCCCACACTAACACGCTCTGAAAACCCAACCCCCCACCACACAGGGTTACCTACGTGAGTGCAACAAACGTTAAATCGAATTTTGTTTATTCGAAAACCTTTCTGCGAAGTTATTATACTGCGACGCCTTGTTATATCGATGCCTTGTTACTGCGATGTTACGTTACATCGAAAAACTTTACTGCGAACGATTTTATAGTCATATTTTATAATATTTTATAATTTATTTATATTTATGTTTCTATTCTTATTATTTAATCAAGGATGTAACTGTTAAATATATGTAATAAGTAAATAAAATGTAATGTAGTTATAATCTTATTTCATCTATAATTTTGTACCGCCCACTTTATTCTATGTATGTAATTTCATTTTTTTTTATCTATCTGCTAAGTCAAATAAAGAAGGCTTCGCAGTAAAATCGTTCGCAATAAAGTTTTTCGATGTAACGTAACATCGCAGTAACAAGGCATCGATATAACAAGGCGTCGCAGTATAATAACTTCGCAGAAAGGTTTTCGAATAAACAAAATTCGATGTAACGTTTGTCGCACTCACGTAGGTAACAAGAAGTGAAAGACAAGTGTTCAAATTCTGTATCTCATAATCATCATTTCAGCCATAGGACTTACACTGCTGAACATAGGCCTTCCTCTGCTTTCCATGTTGATCGACTGTCAGCGGCCTGTGTCCAGCGCTTTCCTGCTATCTCTATGATCGTCGGTCCACTTTGTGGGTGGACGCCTCACGCTGCATTTTCCGGTACGCGGCTCCCATTCCAGAACCTGGCTGCCCCATCGGCCGTCAGTTCTGCGTACTATGTGCCCTGCCCATTGCCACTTCAGCTTACTAAACCGTCGGACTATGTCAGCGACTTAAGTTAGTAATTTTGTACCTCAAAAGAAAATAATTTAATTTACAATGTGATCTTTGAATTGGATCTTTCAAGACTTTTCATAGCCTTCTCGGTGCATCATAAAAAACGTTAATCAAACATATTATCTGCAACATAGTTATGTCACAAAATAAACACTTGTGATTCACGTGTCGACAAGTGTCGCGTCCGCAGTTTGTTATCTAATCTTCGACCTAATCTTTAAGACGGCGCGGCCATACAAGGTCTCAGCTCACCAAAGCGGGCGTAAGCGGAGCGAAGACGGAGCCGAACCGCCCCGTCATGGAGGAGAAGGCGAAGAAGCGGTGCCGGTACGGGGTGGGGTAGAGCTCGGCCGTGAAGATGTACAGCGCGCTCAGCATCGCGCCGCTGCAGCTGCTGCCCGTCAAGTAGAACGCGAGGGACAGCGCGTATTGATCTGTAACCGACCGACCTCATGGCTAATGTCTCTCACACTTCTTCTAAGTCAATCAAAATTTAAATAATATTCTCAATTTTAGGATCTTTTCTCATATTGACACGTTATTCCTCGAAGTACAAGTACAAGCACGCCCCAGACAGTTTACACAACACTAACCTGCCTTTCTAAACACAAATTACTTAAATAAGTACCATAAAGAGTTATATAAATAAATTAGTCTACCTATTAGTCTGTCTGGTATATATTTGTATAATTATGTCACTGGTTTAAATTACCTAAGTACTTACTTTTGGGTATGAACATATATCCTATTTGGCATGCAGCACATATCCAATAAGCACCAGCCAAAACTGGTTTTCGTCCTAATCTGTCTAAAAGAAAATTAGCTATCCAGAATCCAGGAATTTGGGAAGATGCCACAGCCATGTAATTGAGGTATTTATTCCCGGATATACCCACTGCATTAATCGTGAGGCCTTGGTAAATTAAGGTGAAGGTGATCCACATGAAAGGGGTCGTAAGACACCGAAATAGTACAGGCTTGTACTTAAATAGAAGCTTAATGAGTGATGGTTCTTTTTCTTTTTTCTTATTTTCTGTGTCATCTTTTCGTGATTGAATTTCATTTTCTGTTTTTCTTCTTAGAAACTCTAAAGATTTTTCAGATAGTTGTCTCTTGTTGACTCGCGCTATATTTTTCAAGGTCTTTTCGCAATCTTCGTACCGGCCTTTGGTTATGTACCAGCGGACTGATTCACCCATAAGCCAAAGGTACGAAATAGTAAGCAGTTGAGGTGTAAACAGCACGAGGCTCAGGACTCTCCAGTTTGGCACGGCCCACGCGATGAGGCTCAACGTAACGAGGCCAATTGACAGGCCGGTGTTCATGATCGCACCGGTCAGCACTCGGTTCTCTGGACCAACCATTTCTAGGACTGAAAATAATAAAGAAACAGTTGAAGAAACTGCTAGGTGACCAAATATCTACATGAAATTATTATTCAATAAAATTCTTATAATCATGTTTTATTCCTTCATCCTTTCAACCAAATGCGCTGCCCTAATCCCGGTGTTCAATACTTACTTAGGATATAAGCACATTGAAATGTCCCACCGCCGATCGCAGCTTGAATGAACTCCAAAATTATGAAACCAACGTAATCATACGCGAAGTATTTGAGAACTCCCAGCCAAGCGCCGTTAAAGGCAGTGAAGACCAGCGCCGTCCGCCGGCCCCAGCGGTCGGATATGAACCCCGTAAACAGCTGCGTGAACAGCGTCCCGAAGATGCGGATGGACCCAATCAGTGTGCGGCGCACTTCATCGCAGGCCAAATTAAACTGTTCATAGATTAAATTGTGATCAGACAACTATTTATTAAATACATATTTTTTTTGTGCCTTGTACGTCAATGCAAAATATACCTTACATCATACACGACGGTGTTTGTATTCTGATACAGGTGCCGCTCACAACTCTTCAAGTGGCTCTGGTTGAACCAGACGGCAGGGCAGACGCCTGGCTCGAGTGGCCCGGCAGTCGCATTGCCGAATCTTTGGCAGTTGTCGAAGGAAGTGTGACTGGTACCAGGAATTGCGTTAAGTAACCAGTCAGGACTAAATTCAGGCTCCTCAAGGTCACATTCTGGAATATGACACCTGAAATCGAGATAATTTATGCATATGATAAATTATTATTTTATCTTAATTTTGTTCGTGCCAATTATGTAAATATTTAGGTACGTACCTGGTTGAAATTCTGCCTGTTGTAAATACATAGGCATTATTGCTCCATGCTAAAAAGATCACGGCTATTAGGGCCAAGAGAAGATTCCGCACCTGGAACCAGCCAAATTGCCCCACCTCCTGTTGCAATATTGAGTCAAAGTCTAGAGTTTTCTCCACATTCTGTGGTTCTCGATTTAAAACTTCTGTTTGTTCTCTATCTGCGTTCGCCATTATTCTAACCGATTTTATAGTTTAAATTATGCTCTCAAATAGTTTTTCACATACAAATGTGTCTCTATTTAAAAAAATTAGCTAGTCGTATTTTTGGAATGTTATCTTTATAACGTCTTCCTCCTTGTATATTTTAGAAGGGAATGAGGATAAGTCAATGATGTATGGCCCCGGTGTCATTTGATGTGTAATAATAAATATGCGTGGCAAATTGATACCATTATTTGTGATAAAATGATTTGTGATTCAATTACTCTGATGAAATCTTTGGTAGGTAGTCTTTTAACGTATTTTTAAATACGCTCGTCGATGATATTTAAAGTACAGATTGTTTGAACACAAACACCTCACATCAACATTGCGTCGGGTCTAATTCATTCTTGGTTAACAACAGGTTTCTTATGAAAACGTACAAACGTATAACTTCAATTTATAATACTTTTTGCGTGCCGTTGTGTGTGTGATAGCAGTGATAGATAGTTCACTTTTTGTTTAGACTACATTAAAGTTTTGTTTACTTTTAGAGAGTTTTAAGTTTCTTTGCACTTTAATAAGGTTTTTTTAACATCAAAACACTTTCGAAATCAAATATTAGTTTTTGTCAACGTTATCACTCGGTTAAATGTATATCTTCATAATTGATATTCTATGTACCTGGTTGTGGACTAGTAAAATAACCAGAATTTAATCTTATTTTACTATTTTCATTCGTGCTATTCATGCCTTTCCCTTTGATCTTCAATTATTACATAATGTCACCAATCTTGGTATTTTTTAACTTCTTCACACTTCAATCACTTTTCCGGTTTTTAGCACGTGTTGCTATTATTATCACTATAACGTCGCGGCGTCGTCGCGAATGATAGGTTTATCATGACTATCGATCGACCTCTATCTTTTTGGTCGATTTATTTCGTTGAACAACTTTATCGAACTGGAAACTTGTAAAATCACTGGGAACAAGAATTGTGCGCGGTCGCAACGCGCGGCCCGCGATGACTGCCACACACAGCGCGTGCGCTTCGGTGAACTTGTTCTGCACACCATTGAATCCAGTTATTTATAAGTCAGGAATGGCTAGATCGATTTTAATGATCTCTAATGTGTTGGATTAACCACCAAATGAATTAATCGCTACTTCGCTCCGCCCTGAATAGCAGAACAAGTATTTACGAATCACAGAAGAAATAATAAAATTGATATAATAAATTCATTCATTCCGCCATATTCTGCAATTGACAACTTTACGTCACACCACACAGTTGACGAGATAGTAGGTAGGTATACAAAGTACACCGGTACAGCTAGTATCACAGAATACATAATAGTAGCAACAGAAATTGCACTCCTTTGTGTAGGATCAGATGCCGACATTTTAACGGTAATAATAATAATGCAAAATATCCAACGCACATGGTGCATTCGAAATCGCACTTTACTACTACGCTCACAAGAGCGCATTTTTTTTTGTGTTCAGAAATGATCTACCTCACAGCTCAAGCGTCAGGGTTGTATAAGCAAAGTAAAATAAATAAAAACTTAATTTTAAGAAGCATTTATTGTATTTACGATTGGTAAACTTTAATCTAGTGGTGTTTGTATAATCGTACCATCTCTAAAGTACCCTCTTAATAAACTTCAGTGTTGCGATAATTCGAAATTGGACAAACAGTTTTAAAAGGGGTAATGTCGGAAATTAGACACGGTGAATTAAAGTTAATGTTTTTGTTAGCTAAAATAATTTTTTTGCTACAGTTTTTTGTCATAATTATTTTAAAATTGTAGCTTTTTTAATTATTTAAATTACTACAGTTAATTATCATTCCTAAATATTACGATTTTCCATTAAAGAAGAATAACAGTGCTGTTGGAACAATAAACCTTGATTGCGATGATGATCGACCGAGCGTGTATAGAAATACGCATGTTCACAGACGCGTGGCGGCCCTGACTGATTTGCAACTTGAAGTTGTCGCGCGCTGTAGGTAATTATCTCGGCCGCCATAGGCGAGTGACGGAGGCCTGCTAGTATTAATAAACAACAGTGATTGAAATAAAAAAAAAGTCGATCGTTCGCGATTGTGCTAGCTACTTAGCTATGAGCCAACAATCAACATAACGAGTCACATGGAATACGTTAAAATTACACCTTACTGCGCCGAGGTCTGGCAATAAATGTGAAGCAATGTAACTAATTTCAGAAAGTTTGTCCTTGTCTTCAGACAAGGCCAGAAAAAATGTGGGTTGAAACGATACTCTATGCAAATTTTCAATCGACTAAAGTAATATAAATATTACATTTCATTCATAACAATAGTCCAGTTATACCTATGTTGTTAAAATAAAATGACAGTCCTTAAAGAGTAATAATTTATTTATTTACGCTATCTTCTAATCTTTGTTCTGAATAAGGAATCAATTATCTACTCTTATTCTTAAAATAAGTTCATATTAAGTACAATTATTATCTTCAAATTAAAATCTAAGCTTCATGTTACAAAAAATGTTTTCGAATTATCTTTTAATAGGTACTTTATGACTAGACTTCTAGAAGTTAATGACTCTGGTGATGGTGGTTTAAACAGTTGCCGTGGCCTTTCTGTAATTTTGAAAAGGCAGCCTGAGCCGAATATGCGATTTTGGTGCATTTTGAATTTAAGTTTGTCTTGGCGTGCGCGCGCGGCCGAGGTCGGCGGCCTGGCGCATGGTGTCGGGCAGGCGCGCGCCGCGCGTCTCGGGCGCCAGCAGCACCAGCGCGCCCGACACGCACGCGCAGCCCGCGAACAGCGCGAACGGGAACTGCTCCCACACCATTGCCGCCTGCAACAAGAAACATTTATTGCAATGGACATCACAAAAGACAAAAGAGGTAGGTAAAAAAAGCAAACTAGGCAGAGGTAACAGATAAAACATACAATGGAAGAGAAAGTAAACTGAGCAGTTCCACCCTGTCGCACAGCGATGCCCATCGCAATGGGACCCCGACTCAGCATTTATATTAAACCGGCCCACGGTGAGGAAGGCCATGCCATTTACATTTTAATCCGGTTTCTAAATTCAGATTGCACATTCGCCCACAGATCCCACTCCGGCTTCTAGGGTACCCCCATTCTCCTCTTCCAGTGTTTTTTATACAGGTTTTCTCCACGCGGCCCTGACAGGACGGCCGCCGTATAGGATTACGGTCTGCTCTATGCTGCTGCTCAATCAGCTCTGCTGATCAGAGAAGTATTGAGAGCGGCCCTCTAAAAAATGGGCCCCGCCAGCCCCCGGCTTTAAAGATGTCCCCTGCATCGTGACCCGGCAGCCTCCGGCCCAATTGTGAGTTACAGGTTGCCCTACAGGCCCGCCGAGTTGATGAGACAAGCGAGCCTCTAGCCTGAGGCGGAGCTGCGGACGAATGTCCAACTAGGACAATAGCTCGCGGCTCCGTTTCTTTGGGTTCTGGTGGAAACCGTCGGGCTATAGTGGGTAGGCGGGGAGAGTCTCACATAATCCACTGGCCGTCCCCATCGACCAGTGGGTATGCGCAAAGCATTTCCCGACGTAAAAAAAATGGGTGTGTGTCCCGTATCTTTAACCCGGGGTCGCGTCCAATGGTAAACCTAAAATTGGACACGAATTAGCTACCTACTTCTCCTTCAGTTGTAAGATCGCATCCTTTATCATTCTGTTTTATTTTAAAGTATTTATCCTAAAAACCGAATCATGAAATGATAAATTTGGGAAAACCGTATTGTGCTAGATTAGATAATTCGGAAGATAAATTATTTGTAGTTAAACAATAATGATACAACGTAAATCGATGTAATATAAATATTATGAACCGTTTTATTATCACCATTGAACCTTCTCATAAATGCAGGCTCCTGTTGTTACTGACGTTCTTCGTTCAGAACAGAACGCTTTTTTTTAGCTTTTTCAATGGGCTAAATCTGGTGTCCAATTTTGATAAGAAATAAAAAGTTTAAACACTTATGAGGTCACCTAAGTGTCGGCTATAACTTGTTTAACGTGCTGTTGTTTTATTATTATCCGATTTTACGACTTAGTAACTCTAGCTATTGATATGCAACTAGCTTTCCGCACACGGCTTCGCGCGCGTGGACTACATTATGTACATATTTTACGGAACCCTATTTTTTTCCAAAATAAAATTTAGCCTATGTTACTCGTGAATAATGTAGCTTTCGAATGGTGAAAGAATTTTTAAAAACGGTCCAGTAGTTTTTGAGCCTATTCATTACAACCAAACAAACAAACAAAGTTTTCCTCTTTATAATATTAGTGTAGATGTAGACAACAACAAAAAAAACAGAGATATATTATGTGTCATTGAATGTCAGATAAGCAAGTCAAAATATTGTGACGTTATCGTCGAATACTTAATGCCCTTTAGACCAAGCGCCTTTAGGTAATCTTGAAACATACAATGACGATGGTGTTTGACAAGCTAATTATTTCTTTGTATTTCGAAAGGGCGTACCTACAATACTCTTTTAATAGCCTAGGTAACGTTACTATAGAATCTATAGTATAGATAAAACTTATTTCGATCAGGTAGGCACAACAGGCAAGAAAAGTCATCAGGCGTCCTGTTCCATAATGGATTCAAACAAAAGCTTGTATTATAGGCGCTCCATGTGCCATACGTGGAGCTACTTAGAATAGTCGCAATAGGGCAGGGCATTTTTTTTTGTCAGATAAATAAAGAATAATATACTACGACACACTATGTGATGCGATATGAACATAGAGATATAATATAGAGATGCCAACTAATGCGTTAAGTTTGAAACTCAGTGTCGCATTCGAAATTGACACAAATAAAGTAATCAAAACTTGAAATGAGCACATGCTCATTATCCACTGCGGTATGAGTACTCAACGTTCGAATAATCTTGTATCTTGATTCTTGAATAATAGCAACGTAAACTGTTTACATTATGACGTCCGCAGACTTGTGTTTTGTTTTTGGGCATATTGCTTCGACACCGGCCGGATCCCCTTTTCACATCTATCTTTAGTTTGTGTGATCTGTGGATATGAAGTACCTACGCACAGAGCACGGAATCGCTGCGCGCCGCCCGCTAGCAGCGCGGCGATTCCATGCTCTGTGGAAGTACGTAAGCATGCTTACGAGCGCAGGCGTCAAGGGAGCGACGGCGGAGCCGATGCGGCCCACGGAGGAGGCGACGGCGAACAGGCGGTGGCGCGCCGGCGTCGGGAACAGCTCGGCCGTGAAGATGTACAGCGCGCTCAGCACCGCGCCGCTGCAGCCCGCGCCAACCATGTACACCGACAGCGACAGCGCGTATCGAGCTGCCACAAACAAACCATCCTCAGTACAAGCTGTCTAAAAGAGGGCAGTCGAACCTTAATTTCGAACTCCTATCTTCGAATTTAATTGCGAGTCCTATGACAATTTAAACTTGACCTTCATTGGTTGGGTTTTTATGGCGGTCAAGCTGTAGATCCTGGCTACACAGGAGTTGCAGCAGTAGAAACGATGTGTGAATAGTCCCGTAAGCTGTCTAAAAACTGTATCAATGGTCCCATCTGAAATCCGAAACAACAAATCTGGTACTTGAACAGGTACCAGTCGTTATGGTACCATGTAGGTTATAAACCATTTACAGAAAATTAAAGAGCAGATAGGTTAGTATTCAATAATTTTGGATTGATGTAAAATTATAACTAACTTACGACAAAAAACTTACTTTTTGGTATGAACATAAAACCTATCTGGCAGGCCGCACATATCCAGTAAGCGGCCACTAGAACGGGCTTCCTGCCAATCTTGTCCAGAAGAAAGTACGATGCCCAAATTCCTGGAATTTGAGCAGCCGCCACCGCAATATAGTTGACGTATTTGTTCCCTGATATATTCACAGCGTTTATTGAAAGGCCCTGGTAGATGAGAGTGAAACTGATCCACATAAATGGAGTGATAATGCACCGAAACAAAACTATTTTGTATTGGAGCAAAAGTGCAAGTAGCGAAGGTTCATTTGAATTGCGTTCTTTTCCTCGGCTCTCCTCTGAATTTGTTCTTACTTCTTCTGCTTTTTTTCTTAGGAGTTCCAAAGACTTTTCAGAAGTTTGTTTTTTATTGACTTGCGCTATATTCTTCAAAGTTTTCTCAGAATCTTCGTACCGGCCTTTTGATATATACCAACGAACTGATTCGCCTATCATCCAACAATATAAAATAGTGAACAGCTGTGGTACCTATGTATAGCGCAAGGCAAAACTTTCTCCAGTTAGGAACGGCCCATGCTATGAGGCCTAACATCATAAGACTGAGGGACAAGCAGGTGTTCATGCAGGTACTAGTGAATACTCGATGTTCAGGACGTACTAATTCCATCACTGTAAATAAAATGAATAATCTAGATTATAGCACAGACAAAAGCTTATGCACAGTCAAAAGTGGTTACACACTTTTGACGTTTAATCAAGAATTCAAACAGGAGAATCATGGATATCTTAAAATTCTTATGATGTCATGAAAATGAGTTTGAGAAAATACTTACACAAAATATACGTCGATTGGTAGGTGGAACTGCCAATGATGGCTTGAAGAAGTTCCAAGAGTATGAAGACGGTGTAGCTGTTACTGAACGACTTGAGCACGCCCAGCCAGGCGGCGTTGACGGCGCTGAGCACGAGCGCGGCGCGGCGCCCGCGGCGGTCTGACACCAGCCCCGCCAGCGGCTGCGCCAGCATGGTGCCCAGCAGCCGCACCGACCCGATCAGCGAGCGCCGCCACTCGTCGCACGCCAAATTGAACTGTCCAGTATTTTCGTGCGTGAAAATTATGCTAAAGACAATGTGACATTTTATTACGAATCGATTCTCGTTTGTACGAGTAATTCTTGATAAACATTAACTATTTATGAATAAATACTATGATCATCATCATCTTCATCATCCTCATCATCATCATTATCATGCCATCACTGCAGGAGCACGATCTTTTCTACTTGGAGGATTTGGTCTACACTCCCCACGCTAAACGCATTGGGGAAGCCATACTATACAATAAAAGAATAAGTTATTATTACATTATTGGCTGTAAGAACAAACATACCTGTTTGTAATATTATTATAAAGAGCTGTGGTTTTCTGAATAAAGAAAAATAAAATAAATAAAATAAAATAAATAAGTAATCTCTTCAAACCTACATCATAGACGAGAGTGTCAGTATTCTGGTACACGTAGCGCTCGCAGCTCTGCAGCTGGTCTCGGTCGAACCAGCCGGCCGGGCACTCATCCTGGCCGAGCAGCGTGGCGTTGGCTTCGCCAGACGCGTTGGCGAATCGCTGGCAGTTGTCGAGCGAGCCGAGGCCGCCGGGCACCGCGCTCGGCAGCCAGCCCGGCGCGAAGGCCGCGTCGTCGAGGTCGCACTCCGGAATGTGACATCTGAATAAATATCTGATTTATTACGGGCTCCCCGTTTTGAATTCATTGAAATTAATGAGGGTTAGTTCTCAGATTCTTCGCGTTACAATGTAAATGCGTCGTAAAATAGACACCGGGAAATGTGTCAGTCTCTTGTTCTCCGCTTCTATTGTTGTGAAACATATTTTTTTTTTTCATACTTATTGTATATTTTGTCTATTGATAAATCAATTACACAAAAAGCTGTCGTTTATACTAGTGCTTTAACCACTGTCAGCTTTAAGTAGGTACCTATTTCAGTTAATAGATTTTCTTACCCTTAACGAGAAAGCTCTTGGCCTGCGTCTCACATAATGGAAAGTGATGATCTAGCCGAAAGTAGAATTACGCTTAAGTACTTCAGCTTCAAAAAGTATCAGGGTGAAAAGAAGAGAGTAAAAATACAAACAATGCTTAATCATCTAGAAGTTCACCTGGTTTGTATCCTCACCGTTGTGAAAACATACGAATTGTTACTCCATCCTACGAAGACGACTGCAATGACCCCCAAGATGATTGTCCGCACTTGGTACCACCGGAAATGCCCCACCTCCTCTTGCAGAATCGCGTCGAAGTCTAATGTGGCACTCGCAGTTGCTTTTACATCTGAGATATCATTTTTCTCACTGTCCAAGTTAGCCATGTTTAATTTTAACACTAGTTTTGATATTTCAAATTATGTTGATTTTGTTCGCAATAACTATAATCTATGTACTTTACGTCTTATGCGAAGCAATGATGTGACATTTATAAAGTGGATTCAATTGTAAGTTGTCTTCAATTGTAATCTTTGAATAAGATAAATACTCGTTGATAATAATGAAACAATTACTCTTACTTACATTAAATATTACAGTCAAATCTCATACTCTACGCAGCTTCTGTATCCACTCACAGACATAAAATATTTCAATAATCGTGAAATGATAACGTTTATTAATGATCAAGACGGGTTAACATTTACTTGGGAACACCAAGTATTCTGTTCATAATTGGAACTTTGAAGCGTGGCTTCGAAGTTCTTACAAACTGATTTAAAATTAATGAGATTTTTTCACCGAGCATCGCACGTCTGCGCACATATTATTTTAACTAAGAGTGTACGCAAAGTTGAAAGAAATATTACAGGTACTAAAAGGTCTCTTGTCGTGAGCTCTACGTCAGAAAAAACAAAAACGTTAGATAAAACTGTAGTGTATAAGTGTCTACCTTTAGATATGTCACTTCTATGAAGGTGGATTAGATTACTTCTGCACTATTGTATTTTAATCATAAAGTTAATATATCTAGCGGAAGGAATATTAACTTTATGATTTTAATTGACTGTTCTATAGATGTTCTTAGATAAAGACACTCGTGAGAGTTTCAATTCTGAAATCGCTTCCCTTTGTCTATCACGAATGAGTCTGATTCTATTTGAGTTATTGTAAAAGTGCAAATAAAAATAATGATATTTTTTTTTTTTATCCACAACGAGGAAGCTCTTAGCCTGAATCTCACCTGATGGTAAGTGATGATCAGGCCGAAGGTCGAAGCGAGCTTCACTCGGAATCCTCAACCACGGAGGAACTGGCTATCTTACCTCTAACTGCCGGAACACAACTATTAAGTAATTTTAGGTTTTTATGTCAGTTTTAAAGCTTTTAAACAATATTGGTATAAAATAATATTTTGAAAATATCATAAATAACTTGAAAAAATCGAACTGCCTAAGGCGGGAATTGATCCCACGACCTTCCGCTTGCCGGGCGACTGCTCTTCCAACTGAGCTACTTAGACACTGGATGAACCCGTCGAAATTTTCAAGTGTAATACGCTGTCGAGCAATAGTGTCGCGTAAGAGCAGTCGCCCGGCAAGCGGAAGGTCGTGGGTTCAATTCCCGCCTTAGGCAGTTCGATTTATTCAAGTTATTTATAATATTTTCAAATTAGTTTGAGATGCGACTCTTAACGCTAAAAATTAAATAACTATGTAAAATAATATTTTATTGTGAGTTGTCAGTGTTCCGGCCGAGGTCCTCGGCGTCGCGCATGGTGTCGGGCAGCTTGGTGCCGAGCGTCTCCGGCGTCGTGAGCACCAGCAGCGCCGACAGCAGCGCGAAGCTGCCGAACAGCACCGACGGCAGGCTGGCCCACACCTCTTGAGCCTGAATGTGATAACGTGAGATTTCAATCAATATTTATCAAAATTAAATAATATACCTAGCCCAATAATTTTACCTTTATCATCATCATCATCATTTCAGCCATAGGACGTCCACTGCTGAACGTAGGCCTCCCCTAATGCTTTCCACGTTGATCGATTGGTAGCGGCCTGCATCCAGCGCTTCCCTGCTACCTTTACGATGTCGTCGGTCCACCTTGTAGGTGGACGCATTAGCAAGCTGAAGTGGCAATGGGCAGGGCATATAGTACGCAGAACTGACGGCCGATGGGGCAGCAAGGTTTTACCTTTATATTGTGAAATTATCTCATATTCATAATGTCCAAAATAACCATATTCATATCATAATACTCGTACCTATAATTATGTATTATAGTTTTACGTGTTCGTCAAAGATCTTAGATGCCCTACAGGTAAGCCTAGTTTTGTTAGAAATCCAAACGTTATTTCTTACCGGGCACCAAGGCAATCAGGATTACGTTGAACTCCTAAGCTTCATATATTGTAATGATATTTGTCTGTGTATCAGAATTGTTGTTTGAATATAAATAAATACCAAACAGCAGTGGTAGGGTTAATATTGGGACGTGTAAAAGTGCTTTTTAAAAGCCTATTTGCAAAAATAAATGAATTTTATGAATTTTACCTAAATTACTTTGGGTACACACTACCAACCCATTATCTACACCATGTCTCATAGATAGCTTGCAAAAGCTAACGCTAAAGCAAGATCTTGAAGTAAGGTAACTTCAAGAAGAGAGATACCTATTGTTATTGATTTTCACTAACCAGAGCTGGCGTTAGTGGCGCCGTGATGGAGCCCAGCCGGCCCACCATGGAGGAGAAGGCGAACAGGTTGTGTCGGTGCTTGGTGGGATACAGCTCCGCCGTGTACACGTATACCGACGTCATCACCACCGCAATGCTGTACTTTCCGATCAAGTAGGCGGCTAATGAAAGCCCATCCATACCTGAAATTGTTTACCAAACTTTTCCTTGTTAACTGCTTTATTCGGCATCCTAAATAATTCATAATACATACATAGGTTTCTTTAAAAAATATGATCTTGAAACAAACTCATACGAACCTTCAGGTAAAAATGCAAATGTAAATTGACAAACTGCGCACAATGTGTAAGCGCTAATCAGGACAGGCTTCCTTCCAATCCTATCCAACAGTAATATTGCTGTCCAGAAGCCAGGAATCTCGATTGCTGCTACGATAGCGTAGTTCAAGTACGAATTTCCAGAAAGGTTCACCGCATTGACGTTCATGCCGTAGTACACCAATGTGTTCGTTATCCACCAGATTGGAGAGACGCAGCATCTTAATAAAATCACACGAGACTTGAAGACCAATATTGGGAGCCAAGGCTCTTTTGGTTTCTCTCTATTCTTCTCCGCTTCAGCAGAGGCCCTTAATGCTTCCAATGATTTCTCGGATAATTCTTTCCCATTTCTCTTTGCAACTTTTTTCAGAATGTTTTCAGCTTCCTCGTAACGGCCTTTGCTCATGAGCCACCTCACTGACTCCGCTAGTATCCAAAAGTATGAGATGACGAGCAGCTGAGGGGCGTATAGTATTTGAGTTAAAGGTCTCCAAGCTGGCATTCCCCAAGCGATGAAGCCCAGTATTATCTGACCAACAGCGAACATGGTTGAAATCGTTGCACCTGCTATTACTCGGTACTTAGGACCAACTAGCTCAGTTACTGTAACAATAAATTCAGTTTAAAAGTTAAACTACCCATTTTAAAGCAGGCGTAAACTTAAAAATTTAAAACGCCAATAAAAATTTCGGCTAAAGAGCGGAATAAAACACTCTCTCCGTGTCGGCAAACATTCATCGGTCTACTAACAAACAAAAATTGCTGAGGGCCAACTTTACTATGTCAAAAATTTGCTAATGGCCACTTTTACACACCTAAAATATAGCATGAAGAGAAAGCCCCTGCTCCCACAGCAGACTCGATGACCTCCAGCGCCAGGAACCACTCGTAGCTGTTGACGAAGGAGCGCACGAGGCCGAGCCAGCCGGTGTTGAAGGCGTTGAGCGTGAGCGCCACGCGCCGGCCCCAGCGGTCCGACACGTAGCCCGTGATGGGCAGCACGAGCAGCGTGCCGATGGTGCGGATGGACCCTATCTGAGATCGCCGCCACTCATCACAGGCAAGATCAAACTGAAATCACAATTTCCAAAAACTGGTACAATTGTCCCCGGTCTACCCTATTTATATTATAACTAGCTTTCCGCCCGCGGCTTCGCCCGCGTGGAATTTTGTCTGTCACAGAAAAACTTTATCGCGCGCGTCCCTGTTTCAAAAACCGGGATAAAAACTATCCTATGTTCTTTCCCGGGACTCAAACTATCTCTATGCCAAATTTCATCAAAATCGGTTGCGAGGTTTAAGCGGGAAAGCGTAACAGACAGACAGACAGACAGANGTTGGGATATAGTAATATAGACTTTATACGAGTAAAGCCTGGTCCATGAGCACGTAGAATTTTGTCCAATGACCCCGTAATTATGTTGCTGTCGCGCTCGCACACTCACTGCGGGCGCCCGTCGCACAGTCGCGACAGCAATATAATTACGCGCGAGCGATAAGGATGGGTAGCTTAGGGTCATTGGACAAAATTCTACGTGCTCATGGACCAGTCTTTGGTCACTACTTCAAATATAATCCCCACTTACCCCTACTTTGCCTGTCTGTCTACATCTCTGTCTGTCTGTTACCGCTTTCACACCTAAACCACTGAACCAATTTTGATAAAATTTGGTACCTATCTATCTATAGAGGTAGTTTTAATCAAATTTCACGTGGGCGAAGCCGCGGAAAAAGCTAGTAGGTAATAAACTCAGTTCATAGATGATCTGAGGTAATAAAAGACTGATAAAAAAAACTTATCGTGCTGCCATTAGGAAGTCAGCGCTTCGAGACCAAAATCTGGCAAGTGCTGAGAATAACGCACAAAACTTACGTCATAAACTACACTGTTCATGTTCTGATAAACGTAAGCTTCGCAGGGCTCGGTGTCGGAGGTGAACAGCGCGGCCGGGCACGTGCCGGGCGGCGCCGGCGCCTGCTGCGAGCTGTTGCTGAAGCGCGCGCACTGCTCGAACGCGCCGCCGGCGCTCGGTATGGCAGCGCCCTTCCACTCTGGAGCGAACTCGGGCTCGGCGCCGTCACATTGCGGTATGAGACACCTGCAAATGGAAATCATCACAACAAAAATAAATATTTCGGATTATGAAAGATATCCATTGGGGTATTTTGGACGAAAAGATGTTACGTAGTTTCCCGAACGCTGCCCAGCCGAGTTGGATTCGACGATTGACCTCCTTCTCGAAATTGGACCTACCTAGCTGGATCGTTTGTCATACTTTTGACATACTAGTCAACAATCTCGAGAATTGAGCTCCCAAGGTGCTCCCAAGGACTCCCAAGGTCGGTCCACCTACAAGGTGGACCGACGACATCGTAAAGGTAGCAGGGAAGCGCTGGACGCAGGCCGCTACCAATCGATCAACGTGGAAAGCATTAGGGGAGGCCTATGTTCATTAGTGGACGTCCTATGGCTGACATGATGATGATGATGAAAGATATAGAACAGCCATGGAAGATGGTAGATTTATTTGATAATGATATTATATTAAGTTCGTAATACGTGTATTTCGCGCCCCTCTCTCATGGTGTCTGCAGAATACCAGTGGCCGTAATGTGCTTCTGAGTAAGTTATGGCCTCATACTAAGCAAAGACCAATTTGGTACAAGTACCTAATACTATTTTTGCTCTTTAAGTTGATTTGTATCGTTGTAATTTTGTTGGTGTTATTTTTATACACGGCAATAAATAAACATTATCATCATAGAAATTAATTAACTCTTTTTAATTAGATCTGACCTGCTAGGTATCCTCGCAGTAGTGAATATGTACTCGCCCGATGCAAACGCTGAGAAGATGACCGGTATCGTGGCGAGAGCCAGCATCAAGAGCTGGTATCTCCCAAACTGTCCCACCTCCTCTGTGAGAATAGTATCCAAATCGATGTCATTTTTTCTCTCGCCAGCTTCCCCTTTCTCCTCACTGGACATATTTTCGGAGATATTTCAAACACCGCGACCGTTTCACAAATAAGTGGTATTTACATAGATAAATTTCCAGCCAAATTAAAAGGATTAAACGTACCCCCAAAGTACTATCTGTGATAACGCCATTATCTACTTTTATATTGCATTATTATAGGATAATCGTAATAAAGACGATGATAATTAGAGCTTATCATTGATTGTATAGCCACACATATTTACATTTAATTATGTATTGCCGTTACCAAATTATAAATATTCTTAATTTTTTTATTCAAATTCTAATTCTTCGGTTTACATAAAATTAGGTTAAGAATCGTCGTCGTCGTCGTCGTCGTTTCAGCCGAAAGACGTCCACTGCTGGACAAAGGCCTCCCCCAAGGATTTCCACAAAGACCGGTCCTGCGCCGCTTGCATCCAGGTACTTCCCGCGACCTTCACCAGATCGTCGGTCCACCTAGTGGGAGGCCTGCCCACGCTACGTCTTCCATCTCGTGGTCGCCACTCAAGAACTTTCCTGCCCCAGCGGCCATCAGCTCTTCGAGCTATGTGCCCCGCCGATTTTAGCGATTCTGCGGGCGATGTAGCGAGGGAGCGTGCTATGCTCGGAGTTTCCCTGCGTGATCGAATCAGAAATGAGGAGATCCGTAAGAGAACCAGAGTGACTGACATAGGTTAAGAATAAGGAAAGTGAAATGGAAATTTTGTAAAGAATAGTTTTATTACAAAATACAAATAAAGGTACATAATGCATTGCTAGTGCTTGCGAGTCGAGATCTTTCTGCTGGCCAGGTCCTCGGCGTCGCGCATGGTGTCGGGCAGCTTGGTGCCGAGCGTCTCCGGCGTCGTGAGCACCAGCAGCGCCGACAGCAGCGCGAAGCTGCCGAACAGCACCGACGGCAAGTTGGCCCATACCGTCAAAGCCTGCAATATTGTTTGCTTTTAATTCAGTTGTACCAACTTTGTTGGCTGGTAATTTGGGTTAATCAATAAAACACTGTACTCCAAAGCCACTGGCACAAGACCAGGACACTATGTGTGGCGCTTTGGTTGCAAGAGCAAGTCGACTTTGGTGTGCTAATCACTCCATCTTCTAACTACTTCTAAAATATTTTTTACTTAAATACTACTACTACTTTGCCTAGCCGATTCCCATTTTATTTGGGGTCTGCCCTCGCGTTATGCGTCGTTTTGGGTTTTTACTTAAATCTCCCTAGTAAATATTGCGTAATTAAAAGTAAAGGACTAATAAAGCTCTACCTACGTATAGTCTTCCATATGAGCTATTTACCAGAGCTGGTGTAAGTGGTGCGGTGATGGAGCCGATCCTGCCGATCATGGAGGAGAAGGCGAACAGGTTGTGGCGGTACTTGGTGGGGTAGAGCTCGGCCGTGTACACGTACATCGACGTCACCACGATCGAGATGCTGTACTTGCCGATCAGGTACACCGCCAAGTTTAGTCCTTCCATTTCTGAAAGTGATGATTAGGTTGAAGTTAAACCTACTTTTTTTAATTGAGTCATAAAGACAATTTTCCAGGTAATAGGAGAGTGGAAGCTTTGGGAGATTGTTTCGTCCCTTGAATTGATGAAGGTAGTAGCACATCTCTATTATTATAGGAAATAATATTCGTTCGTTCGTTCTTTCGTTTCAGCTGAAAGACGTCCACTGCTGGACAAAGGCCTCCCCCAAGGATTTCCACGGTCACGGGAAGAGCCTGGATGTGGATAGCGCAGGACCGGTCGTTAAGAAAGTCCTTGGGGGATGGCCTTTGTACAGCAGTGGACGTCATTTGGCTGAAACGAACGAATTCTAATAAAATTAATGTTGCCAACTTACCTGAAGATGAAAAGGCAAATGTAAATTGACAAATTGCACACAATCCGTAGGCCGAAATCATCATAGCTTTTCTTCCGATTCTATCCAACAATAATATTGCTGTCCAGTAACCAGGAATTTCTACTGCTGCCACAATTGCATAATTGAGGTAAGAATTTCCTGAGAGGTTTACTGCGTTTACGCTCATCCCGTAGTATACTAAAGTGGTAGTTATCCACCAAATTGGAGTTACGCAACACCGAGACAAAATTACTGGGGATCTTAATACTTGAAGCGGTAGCCATACTTCTTTAGGCTTTACTATATTTTTTTCTGCTTCTACAGACTCTCGAAACGCTTCAAGAGATTTATCAGATAATTTTTTTTTATTTCTTTGAGCCACTTTTCTTAAGATCGCCTCCGCTTCTTCATAGCGACCTTTACTCATCAGCCATCGCACAGATTCGGTGAGCAGCCAATAATATGAGATGACGAGCAGTAACGGGCCGTAGACGACCCGAGTCAGAGTCCTCCACGCGGGAACGCCCCACGCTATGAAGCTCAGTATTATTTGGCCGATCGCAAACATTGTTGAAAGTGATGCACCTGTTATCACACGGTATTTGGGGCCAAACATCTCCGCAACTGAAAACAAAAAAAAAACATCATTTGCAGTAAATACCTATAACAAACAAAAACATGTAATTCACTTAGGACTCGGATATAAACCCTTTCTACTCTCATTAACTACATATTAACCTACACCTAAGGTACGTACACCTCAAACACAAATTATGCACAAGTGGGTATAGTTTCGATCTCTTATGCTAAGAAGTTACACAACTGGATTGCACCATTTAATTTTATCTTTAACAAACGTCAAAAGTCTGTCAAGCTCCATACAAAAACACTGGTTAAAATTATAGTTACAGTTAAAATTAAGGTGGTGCAAATCAGCTTTAGTATCTGGGGGCACGGCAGTGCCCCCACCAAGTCGAGCAAAAAAGCGGCACGGCCGTACCATCCTTTTCTCGAAGCAATTCAGGCCATTTTCGACCGTCTGTAACTTCGTTGTGGATAAAACTAGAAGGCTGAATTTTCATTAGCTATGCAGGCATTGTAAGGAAACGGTATATTTCAAATTTCATTCAATTTGAACCAGTAGTTTAAGAATTATAACGGGTCAAAGTTTCTTAATTTTGTCACTCACTGACTGACCGACTGACTCACCGATCATCAAAATTCTAGGGCACTTCTAGCAGACCTAGAAGCTTGAAATTTGGAATATAAGTAGTGTTTGGTGTATGAATCAAGAAAAAACTAAAATATTTGGGGGCACGGTAATGCAACCGCCAAGCCGAGTAAAATTTTTCAATTTCGGTCCAGTTTTCTAGATACATAACTGCTGTCTACAAAATACAAAAAGAAATGAGATCCCATCAAAAACTAAATAATTTAATTTACACGTGTTTTCATGCGATGGCCAAGTCAATATATTTATGTAAAACGTTAAAGATTTCCTGGCCTGGACTTGGTATTACATGGATCTCACAACTTTTTACCGTAGAACAACTGAGTTGCGAGACTTGGTTTTTTTGACAAGTATTGTTTTTGATGGGATAATAATTTACACCTGGTACCTACCTAATGTAAAGACATTATCTTTTTGTGAAAAGGAGGCACGGGCACGATCATTATATGCCACCAGTGAACAAAGATTACTTTACCTGGCGTGTACAAAAACATACTTTACCTAAAATATAGCAAGAAGAGTAAGTCCCGGCACCTATAGCAGACTCAAGCACCTCCATAGCTAAGAACCACTCGTAGCTGTTGACGAAGGATCGTGCGAAGCCGGTCCAGGCCAGGTTGAAGGCGTTGATGGTGACGGCCACGCGCCGGCCCCAGCGGTCCGACACGTAGCCCGTCAGAGGCAGCACCAGCAGGTCACCCATCACGCGCACCGACCCGATCAGCGACCGGCGCCACTCGTCGCACGCCAGCCCGAACTAAAAGGCACAAGTGGTTGGATGTACGCGTGTGCTTCTAGAGATACCATCCAGTATTGGCGTCGTTTGTGACTGACGATTGTGACTGAAGATTAAAGTGAGCAAACTTAAAATATGGTATTCTTTAAACCAGTGTTTTTCAACGTCAATGTGACGCCTCTATAGAGGAGTCGCGGAGCCTCTATAGAGGGGTCGCGAGAGGTCGTAAAAACTACTTCAGTAAAGACAGATATTAATCCGAAATCTAATTATGCAAATGTTGTATGGATTAAAGTATTCGGTCCCTACAAACATCTTTGCAACATTATAAATTCATGGAAAAAAAACGCGAACGGTAAGGGTTTGCCAAAAAATTGTTCATACTAGGGGGGTCGTGTCATATAAAAGGTTGAAAAACACTGCTTTTGTTAGGGATATATTAAGTCCGCTACAGAGCAATAAACACAGTGGTTGGTAGTAACATAATAAATATATTGGTATCAAAGCACACGTAGAATATTTACAATAGAGAGTTCGGCACAGCCATTACACAGCTAAAGACAACATCACATTTGAATATAAATGACAGTTCTATCATAGCGGTTCCAGCTAGCCAGCTCTACGTTATACAGCATGAAGGTGCTCATCAACAGCTTTAAACTATGCTCCTTGCGATTGCAGTGCCCGATAGTTTTTTTTTTAAATTGTGTCGGTAGCAGTTTTGTATTTTTATTCGTACTAGTAAACCATCGACATACTCAATACTTACTTCGTACACAACACTATACGTATTCTCGTACACATACTGGTCGCAGGCCACGACGGTGGAGTTGTCGAACCACGAGGCAGGGCATGCCTCGGCTGCGTCGGGGTCTTGGAGACTGCTGTTGCTGAACCTGGCGCACTGATCGAAGCCGCCGCTGGCGACCGGCAGCGCGCTCGCGAGCCATGGCGGACTAAACTCTGGATCTTGGCCGTCACATTGTGGGATTAGACACCTGGAATTAGCGAGAACGGTACAAGCGTGAGCTGGTCGAAATTAATGTATTAACAGATTTAAACTCGTCGAGATATTAGTTAAGATAGTTTAAACACAAGATTGGGGTGATAAGTACTTCAACGTAAAAAGATAAATAACATCTAATAGAGACAGTGAAACTGTAATTATAATATTATATACCCTATCTACAATAAATTAAATATGAGTTACGACTTGCCTGGTGGGTATCCTAGCTGTCGTAAAGACGTATTCTGTCGTGAATCCAGAGAATATGACAGGGAAGGCGACGAGCGCGAGGACGGTCAGCTGGTAGCGCCCCACCTGCCCCACCTCCTCCACCAGGATGTCGTCCAGGTCGATTCCCTTCTTCGACCCGACCTCGCCATTCTCCTCAGCAGACATTGTTCAGAGTGACGCAACTACCGAATCCGGGTTTATTTCCCAAGTTTATGCGGCCAATCTATTGCACGAGATAAAGAAAATGCAGGCAAGTCAGAGCTGTGTATTTGCAGCGAGGTTTCTGGGCAATTACTACTATTTATTACTGTTATTTGTTCGAATATAATAACGTCCTCGACTTTTAAAATAATTTAAATTGTTATGATTAAAAGGAATCGGAGCTCGTGTGTCTAATTGTATTTTTACATATGTACCTATTTTATTTCAAATATTTTTTTTAAAAACAGTTGGATAGCAAGAAGCACATGAATTTTTCTTTTACAAACAATAGACTACTATATGAATACGAATGGAATATACGTACGCCCAGATAAAGATTTATTGTGTTTTCTTAAGCCTTACGAATGCTTTGATTTTTTATTTTGTTTAAAGAACAAATAGTGTCTAGACGAACATTACATAGGCTTTAAGACTTCCTTTCTTATTTTAATTAAGCATTGTAATGTAATATTACATGTATTTTATTAGGTACCTATAATAATTGACCGTAATTAAAGATTTGATGTTACTAAGTAAGGTACGAGAACATAAAACTTATTGTTATTTTTTGTTACTGAAATTGTTCCACAATATAATATTAAGGTTCCGTGAATTTTCATGTTGTTCGCAAACCATTTTATAACATGATCTTATAATTTTATTCCATAAACCTTATCAATTTTTATTTATTATGATAAGATTTAAGTTTTCATACTCATGCACTCGTCAAATAAAACCGAACTTCTGTCTCTTCTGTCTCTTCATTATACCAACCAACACTTGCAATCCAAAGTAGTTGGTATATTGTTATTATAATGTATAATTAACGAGTAATATTTAAACCGTTATTATTATGTTCTAAACGAAAAGAAAAAAATTGACATTTATTGTTTCAGTTAAAATTAGAAACAAGTAACAATAAAGAATATTCAAATTAGGTCTTAGCTATAATTTATGTAATTACTTTGTAGATTAACTCAACGGGGCTAAGAGTAGCAAATATGGAAATACAACCCGATACATACATTTCATCATTATTTTAATTTATTTCAAAATTACCTATTTAAATGTAACAATTTGAGAATAATTTTAACTCATTCACTGAAACTTACATTACAGCAATTTTTCTTTGTGGCTAAGCAACATCCCGCACTAGATTCTAAAAACAAACATTAATGAAGACTAGTTTTTTTTATATACAAACACAATGATTATGTAATCTATTCCATGCAAAAGGCTGTATGCCTTTTAGTAGCAGTAGATTTGAAGATCTAAAGAAATATCTCGTAAATTTTTTATCGAAGCCTGACACTTGACGACTTTTCGAGTAGTGTCTAATCTGTGCGCTCTGACGCCGTACGTGCTAGCAGATAAATAACTGCGTGCGGTGCATACACGTGCAAAGAAGATACGTCAGTCACTCAGGATAGACTCCAAACTGTCTAGATAATAAACCTTCCGATATACTCGTAGTACAATATTACTAATCCAATATCCATGCTGGATGTTGCTTGTTTGAAATATCATTAATCATATGTTCTTCTAATCTCCAGCAATCCATATCTACAACGTGTCCCAAAATTCAAGGATAAGCCGGCGCCGCAGGGTGGACATAGTCATGACTGCTTTAGGAAAAATAAGAAAAATAATCTATCTCAATTATTTTTTAAGTTACACAATAAATTACGAAATTCGTCGAAAATTGACACCCCTTATAATATTTTACATTACCACGACTACAATTTTTCAAATACTTCAGTTTTTTTGTTTGTATCGGCAACTTAAGTAGTGCTGCTGTCCACCCCAATTCTTAAAACCCTCAGAATCCTTGTAGTTTTTACACAAAAGTTAATCAAAATATGATATTTCCTTAAAATTTTGAACGATTTTTACTTACACTCCACTTTGACTCGTCGTGTTGGAAAAAAACAGTATGAACACTACTGCGTAGTCAAGAGGTGGCAGGAGCTGGCCATAGGAACTCCTAAACGAAACGGCGGAAGCTTATCGAGTTTGGGTTCGTTGGATTTGTCTTTTCGAGCACTTTAGTGCTAGATGATGTCCAGGGTCCTGATGATGAAGTTAATTATAATTTTCAAACGAAGTCAAGCTTGTTTTTAAATAAGTTTTTTTTTATTACAACTTTATTTTAAGCTTTTTAGTTGTTTCTCAATCTCATGGCCTAAGTGCTCGGGAAGACAAATCCAACGAACCCAAACTCGATAAGCTTCCGCCGTTTCGTTTAGGAGTTCCTATGGCCAGCTCCTGCCACCTCTTGACTTCATCATCAGGACCCTGAACATCATCTAGCACTAAAGTGCTCGAAAAGACAAGTCCAACGAACCCAAACTAGATGTAATTCCGCCGTTTCGTTAAGAGTTCCTATGGCCACCTCCATACTCCATCCAGCTCAATGGTACCATAATATTGCATTGTCATCGTACTTACACAAGTATACCAAATTTCAGCTCAATTGGTTAAGGAGAACTGGTTTTAAATTCAGTTGCAAGATTTATCCCATACTAACTAACAAGCGAAGTGCTTGTAAAAATGGTACGCATATCTTTTTTGCGACTAGTTTTCTTAGAGTATTATACCATTTCGGAATCTTGGATAGTTGCGTCAACTTTATAAAAAACTTGCCGCAGTAGTGTTCATACTGTTTTTTTACAAAACGACGAGTCAAAGTGGAGTGTAAGTAAAAATCGTTCAAAATTTTAAGGAAATATCATATTTTGATTAACTTTTGTGTAAAAACTGCAAGGATTCTGAGGGTTTTAAGAATTGGGGTGGACAGCAGCACTACTTAAGTTGCCGATACAAACAAAAAAACTGAAGTATTTGAAAAATTGTAGTCGTGGTAATGTAAAATATCATAAGGGGTGTCAATTTTCGACGAATTTCATAATTTATTGTGTAACTTAAAAAATAATTGAGATAGATTTTTTTTCTTATTTTTCCTAAAGCAGTCATGACTATGTCCACCCTGCGGCGCCGGCTTATCCTTGAATTTTCGGACACGTTGTATAATTTCATTGCTTTGTGATGCTGATGACCCTTTTTTATAATAAGTTCTTCTTATTTACTAGCAATCGCATGAGACTGTGTTAACAATTTTATTGGTTTCTCATTTGGCTCGTTGCAGGTACTTTCTTAACAGTTCATAGTACATCATCATCATTTCAGCCATAGGACTTCCACTGCTGAACATAGGCCTCTCCCAATGATTTCCACAATGACCGGTTGGTGGCGGCCTGCATCCAGTCCGTCCACCTTGTGGGTGGACGTCCTACGCTGCGCTTTCCGGTACGAGGCCTCCACTCCATCTTAACATCGGCCGTCTTAACAGTTAAAAGATCTGAATTTCTCCGAAACTTTGTTCAGATACGCCACTCCGCGATGAATGAATAGGCGGGACAATGCGTTCCAGTAAAGATCACGAAGGCTACTGAGTCCACCATGGTCCAGTGTACTCGGGACGCCTCTAACCGTCAGAAATGGAAGCACATCGCCAGGAGAGCTACCCTCGGAGATGACATCACCCCACCATGTACCTCGTCAGCGCAACCACGACCACTCTGACAAGAGTGCCCGACTAAGAAGAAGAAAGATAGATAGAAGAGAGTATTTATTTATGTCAAACAGTTCGGTGTCAGTAGTCGGTGCCCGCGTCGGAGGGCTCGCGCGGCTTGATGATGCCGAGCTTGGTGGCCAGCGCTGCCACGTTGGCGCGCACCTCCTCCTGCACCAGGTTGAACGACATGGCCAGCAGCGCGATCCCAAACAGCAGGTACAGCGAGCACAGCGCGATGGAGTGCACCGCCGCCGCCGGCTCATCCGTGTTCTGGCCCTGACAGACATATCATCATCAGTCTCCTTTCTACATACATACACTCGAAAAACCCTCCTTCTGGCGCAGTCGGGCAAAAAGGAATGCACTTATAGGTAGACAGGATCATCCATTTCGAAATGTTCTTACTGGTAGGTATAATACGATCAAGTAAAACGACGCTTTTTAGTTTTGTTGCGGGATACTGATGACGTCATTTATATCACTAGTAAATACCAGACACATGTGTATTGTTTTAAACTTACATGGTCACTACCACCCGCAAGTTTCCTCAGTTACTCCGTGACCATCGCGTTTGCAACAGTGCCGAAATATCGGTAACTCAAAATTAAGGTACATGGTAGCAATCCCGTCAGTAATAATAATAACCAGACACATAATTCCGGAAAGCGCGACAAAATAAACCATTTACTATTTTGATAAGATAAATTTTTAGTAACTTGTCCTTTTTACTTTATTATGAGCCATTAAGTCAGATTAAAATTAATTTTATCAAATTGCATCCTTTATCTCGAAAGTAAATCAAACAAAGAAATTATGAAGCCATACAGCGTGTATAAAATAAAATAGAAATGTTATAAGTTCAACATTTTAATCAAGGGCATATTAAATATGTCATAGTCAATCTAATCAAATTATTGGCTACTAAATAAAAAGGGCATTAATTATCTTATCACTTTAAGATCTGTAACGCGATAAAATATTATGAGAGTCAATTACGCATAAATTAAATAATAGAGCGATTGTAAACGATAATCTAAGGCCTAATATAACACGTAACATAAACTACAACGGATGCTGTTGACATCCAAGCTGGGGTGGTAGTAGGTACTAGATTCAATCATGAATACCTCGGTGATCCAATGTGGCGATGGACTTTGGGTCGGGCACTCTACAATACCTAGTGTAGTAGGTACACTACCTCCCTACATTTTGGTGGGTGGACTAAGGTTGACTGGAGGAAAATGCCGAAAGGCATTAAGTCCGCCTTATACACTGTTCTATGTGCATATAAGTTTGAAATAAATATATGCAATTAGGCTCTAAGTACGAGTATATCTAGTAATTTTGTATAATTGGACATTTTATTGGACATTCATAATATTATTACAGTTTATGTGACTAAACATGTGTAAGCTATTTAGTTTTTCTGAGAGCTTCTTGTGTTTTTGATCAGTAAATAAATATGGCATGAGCCTATATTATCTGAAAATAAACCATGTTTACGTGCTTCGAAGTTGCGTCGTCCGTAATACCAGAGTAAATACAAATGACTAGGTCATCTTCATAGAAACGCACCGAGCGCGGTTTGTATGTGAGCGCGCCAATACGTACGCGGCGCGCACGCACACACTGACAAAATTTAGCGTGGATTAGCGGGGTGTTGCGCACCTACTCATTTGTATTTACTCTGGTAATACTTGAGGTAAGATGTTCGTACCTGCGCGGGCACGAAGTCCCCGAAGCCGATGGTGGTGAGCGTGATGAAGCAGAAGTAGGCCGCGTCCAGGTACTCCCAGCCCTCCCACTGCTTGAACAGGAACGTGCCGGCCACGATATACGACGCTACAAGGAACACGCACAACCAGATGGGGACCGGCTTGATCTGGGAAATTGTAAAAAAATCATGCATATTTGGAATCAGAAAGAATTCAGTACTTTTTAAAATATTTCCTTACCTCTTCTTTAACAGGTGCCTCCACTGCGTAGATTTCCGACTGGCGAGAGCCCCAAACTATGAAAATTATGAACAATATTTGTATATCTGTTACGGTCAAAGTGATAAATGTGAAAATTATGAATAATCGCCGGTTATTATGAATAATTACCGCATGATTTGGTAAATGTGATTAATATGAGGTCATTTATGTCTCTATAAAACTAAATAGGCGGCTTAGGGGTGGCCCAAGGGCCACCCCCGCCGCACCTTAACCTATTTTTCACTTTAAATCAAAACATTATGTTATAGGCATCATGGAAAAGTAATATTATGCAAAAAACATTCCAAACTCATTATGCCAAATTATATTAATAATATGATATCAAAACGTTCAAAAGTTTGGCTGTACACCAGCACGTACACAAGATGTTGTTCTCTTTTATGAAATTTGTTAGTACTAAGGTTGAATTATTAAATAATCACTGTTAAATGTGATTAATTTATCACTTTCACCGCGACTGTCGGTAATTATTCATAATAACCGGTTATTATTCATAATTTTCAATTTATCACATTAACCGTAACATATCCATTTCCCAATGACTCATTAGTTCAGTTCAGTACCCAAAAAAATCATCTACATATTCTGCAGGTATACTACAAATAAAACAAATTGTTCTAAAAAGTGCTTACCTGGAGGCCGATTTCGTTT